TTATACTATTTTAACTCAAAAACGTTTTTAATGGGTGGAAAGAGAAATAGACGGTTAAAACATTTGTGAGTTGAAATGGTATAAAAAGATTTGTTGGGGGCTAATTTTTATTGTCAAAAGTTAAAAAGAGGGAAATAAGTGATGAGGGGGTATGGTGAAATTTTTATGGGCTTCTTAATGTTACTTCAAAAAAAAACAAAAAAAAGGTCTACCATGAAATAATATGAGGAATTACGGGTCTATATGAAAATTTCCCTATTATATACATATTTTCTTTCCCATTGTTTCTCTAGTCTCTTTTTCTTTTTTCTTTTCTTTTTATAAAAATTGCTAATTTGGTCAATCTTATTCAGTGTTGGCAAAATCGAACCAGAACGGTTAACTGGACATGGGACCAAAAGAGGTTTGTAAACCGGTCGATTCAACCGTTCTAACAGGGCAAGTACCCGACGACCAAAAAATTGTTGATAAAAACAAAAAAGATGCAAAAAAAATCTACTAAAATATGAAACCCATATAAAGAATGATTAAAACAAAACGCATTCAAATGATGTTGAAAATTAATAAAAAAAGTGGATTTTAAAAGTGAGTATTAATGACCAAAATAAATTTTAATATTTACCATAATATAAAAAATATTAAAAAATATATTACAAATCAAATTCCTTATTTTTGGGATTTGATAGACATTTTTTTAAAATTTTTATTTTTAAAATACCGACCAATCACCAAAACCGTCTAAAATCGAAACTGGCCTCCGGTTCTGATCTAACAGGGTGGTTACCGGTTAGATCGCCTGGTTCAATATTTTTAAAAATAGCCGTGGGACTAGTTAATGTCCTCGATGAAATCTACCCTAAAAAATCATGGTTTTACTGAGATTCTAATGTCAAATGACTAATTTTAGAGTGAATTTAAATTTAAATTGAGATTAAAATGGATTTCAAGACCAAACATGTCAAAAACTTAGTTTTAGTTATTTTCTTTTTTAAATCCGCCAAGTAGGTCTGCTGGAACCAATAGATGACCGGTTCAACCAATCAATACAGTTTTCAAAAACAGAACAAGTGTAAAAACCATTAAGACTCGCTTGGAATCGCAAGCTTGAGTCATAACGAGAAACTCGGGTGAGTTTCTCAAAGACATCCAAACAAAAAGATTATTAATACTAGAAATCAGCTGAAATCAGGCAATTGTCATGAACGTGGGTGACTCACTAAGGTTTCCGAGTCCAACCAAGTAAACTGGGCGACTCACTAAGGTTTTCAACACCAATAATAACCCCTTAGTGAGGTTTTTTTGGTGAGCTTTGAGGTGAGGCTTTATTTATTTTGATAGGGTTGTAGCTGCATTGAACCATTTTTCAATAATTTATATCTTCAAGAATGAAAAAGGAGGTACATGATTAACATAGAATTTATTTAACAACTAACTCATAATAAAGGATGAGAAAACCACCTTTTGGGAGCCAAATTACTTGTAGGGTGATGTTCGGATACGGCATCCACCTCAAACAATTAAAGTAAAACTCACTTTCAAATTCCTTCACAACATATAAATATGGGGTCAAACCTTGCGACAACTCAAAATTTATTTCCAAAAATTGAGTCGATCAAGTAGATCTATAAACAAGTGAAAATCTTGGAAATGGGCGGTATGTTTCAAATCCCGACATCCAAAGGTTTCAGATGGAAGAGATTGGCCTCAAGACCAAAGAATAAAGATTGATGTAGATGAGGAAAGTTTAGAGATGATGAATGTGGGGAATGCTTATCCTCTAGTCGTGTATGAAAAAGGGGAGTATTCAAATACAAAGTATGATGAATCTATGATAGATGTTAGGCCATTACGTGTGATGCCGGCTGAGGAAGTTGCAAAGCAGGAAGATCGTGTCCAAATACAATAGATGACTGGTGCAACACAGGTTCAAGCAATTGATTCAATAGAGGAGAGTGTTGATGTTGTTCAGGCATTGCAGATCCCAAACAAGAAACATGCAAAGAAGAAGGAGAAAGAAAGTACTTGTAAAGCTTGAACAAAAGCGAAAAAGAAGGAGCGACGGCTGAAAAAGGTGCGGGAGGCATTGTGAGAGATTGGGAAGGCAAAGTTCTGTTGAGGTATCATGGATCAGCAAGTGTAGTGACTGCGATTAAATTGGTGAAATTTTTCAAAAACCAATGGAAGCAGAAGGAGATTCTATAAATATTGTAAAATGGATAAAGAAAGAAGCTGCATATATGTAAAGATTTCATAGTTTAATTTGTGAAGTGAATGACTGTTGTATGGAAATGGAATGTAGCTTTAAACATGTTTACCATGAAAGTACTATGGAGGCGGACAAGCTTGCAAAACTGGGTGCGAACGATAATAGCCTTATTTTTGAATGGTTAGTATATTGTAGGTTGTAAGTTTCTTTTGTTTTGATTTGAGATGTTATAATTGTGGCCTTGAGGCTAAAATTTGTTGAAGTCATTGGTGTTATTATATGAATAAAAATTGATTGTTCTTAAAAAAAAAAAAAGAACGATCGTAAGAGTCGAGATCGAGAGATGATGAATTGGAGAGATTTTTAACATGACAAGAACTATTTCTACTGTTTTTCTTGTTATTTTGCATAGCAATTAACTCTTTCCTATGAAGGTATAGCTTTTGATAGAATAAAGTTAGAAACTAAGATTGATGTAGGAAATCCCGAATGGTTAAAAAAAATGTTTCGAAGATAATCATGAATTGTTCCCTTCAATGCCGTATTTGCTCCTCAAAGCTACGGATGATAGGGTCAACCGAATTTCGCTTCCTCCTATCACTTTCGCTTAATTAGAAAACGAAATTTCGGGAGTCTTTCGCCCAAAGAAAGTCGAGAGGTTAAAACTCCATTAAAAATAACTAAGGGGTATTTTTGAAAATTATAGTTAATTTTTTGGCCTTCCGGTCATTCATAAGTTCGTACGAGGCACTTAGCTGGCAAGTTCAAAATCGAGAAGAAGGGTAATTTAGTCAATTTGCCCAACACGAGCCGGCCAAAAAAGGGCATAATTGTCATCATAATTAAGAGTAATGTAAAAATAAGAAAAAAAAACAAAATATTTTGCCTATCCATCGCACTTCTTACTCTATTTAACTCGCAAAGTCCCCTGTACATGAACAAGCCTCTCTCTCTCTCTAAAGTCTATCTTCCATCCTCAAGCACTTTCTCTCTCTAAAGCTAGCTATCTCTCTAAACATTATCGCCATCTCTCTCTCTCTCTCTCTCAGTCAATTTAGTTATCTATGGCCACCTCTCTCTGAGCTTACAGACCGAACTCACCCACTCTCTCTCTACACACCCATCTTTTTTCTCCCTCATCGTAGTTATTCTCCTGAAACTTTTTGTGCTTTCTCTCTCTAAGTTTTACCTAGAATCCGTTCTCTCTCTCGTTATGCTTTCTCTCTCTAAACTCTGGGCTCATTTAACAGTAACGGACCCATTCTCTCTCTAAACTTTGCGCCACAATTAGGCCGGACGCACACTTTCTCTCTCATGGCGCCACAGCGCCCCAAATTCCCGCCCATAACCCTCTGCAACTCCATTAACAGAGAGACCCAAACAGTGGCGGCCGACCTCGATGGAACGCTCCTCATAGCTCGAAACTCTTTCCCTTACTTCATGCTCGTCGCCATTGAAGCAGGGAGCTTCTTAAGAGGCCTAATCCTTCTTCTCTCTTCGCCCACCATTCTTTTTCTCTACAAATTTGTCTCTGAACCACTTGGGATTCAAACCATGATCTTCATTGCCTTTGCAGGGCTAAAATTGAAGAGCATAGAGCAGGTTTCGAGAGCTGTTTTGCCCAAATTTTATGCAGAGGATGTTCATCCTGAGAGCTGGAGAGTGTTATCTGCTTTCGGTAATAGAATTATAGTGACTGCAAATCCAAGAGTCATGGTTGAGCCATTTGTGAAGGAGTATTTGGGGGTTGATAAGGTTTTGGGGACTGAAATTGAGGTGGGAAAGAGTGGGAGGGCTACTGGTTTTGTGAAGGGGAGAGGGGTTCTTGTTGCAGAGCTCAAGAAGGAGGCTTTAATGGAGGAATGTGGTGAGAATTTGCCTGATTTGGGGATGGGTGACAGGGAGACTGATCATGATTTCATGGGCATTTGTAAGGTGAGGATTTCCTTCCTTCTATGGTAATTTTTTGCAGGTTTGGTGGATCTTTTGTTGGCTACTGGTTTCTTTTTTCTCAAATTTTCATCCTTTGTTGGGTTTTTAAGTTGGGTTTTGTCTATTAAAAAAAAAATTGGGTTTCTGGTTTTTTTTTAGAGAGAATTCATGGTTGTATGGAATGAATATGTGCCAATTTTGGTAAACAATCATTTTGTCAATTGTGTTAAAGATTTAGTGGATTTTTCTTGGTTGGAGGGCATTTGAATTTGCTTTTTTAGGTATTTTCACCCACTCAATTTATCTGTTTTACTTTGTTCCTGCTTTTGATAGTGGAATGAAAAGAGTCCTGACAGTGATTAGTGCCCATCTTTAAAGCTAAATTTCTATGTTTGTAATTTCACCATAATTTTGAGATTATTTTCCATTGTGTTGAATGTTTTAGTGTCTGAACTCTGAACTAACTAAACTTTGGGCAAAGTTCTGTACTTTACTTCCTCCCATCGAGCCGTCCAATTTAGATCAAGTAGGCCACCGTTTCATCCAGTACGCATAGTATTTTATTTTGAAAAAAGTTTATACAAGGATGTAACCTTATAATCTAGAACTACAGATGCACCTCAAAAATCTATTGAAAAAAGGTTGTTTTAATGTTGAAAGACCCTTTGATTGATCATCTTGATGTCCAGATGTATAACTATGAAAAATAAAAAGATTTAAGTCTTAGAAATAGTGTATTTTTCGATGTCCAGATGTATGCCTATGAAAAATAAAAAGATTTAAGTCTTAAAAATAATGTATTTTACAACATATTATCTATATTATATATTTTCAAGATTTTTATATGTTTATAGATCTACGAACTATTTTTAAAATTTAAAATTATATAATTAGATATCAAAATAAATTTTAAGATAATCCTAACAACATTTTACATCAAAATAATATATAATGTTAAAATTTGAAGGTGCACCTTACCTCTTCAGCTATGGATACATCCTAATGTCACCTGTATTTTCTTTATTTTTAGCTTTTTTATCTATAAATCATATGAATATGAAATTTAGTATGGGCCATCATCTCAACAGAGGCGCACTTAAAACAAATATTAAAAATAATCTTTTGATAAAATATATGGATCAAAATACACTTTGAAACTTTCATAATTATTTTGATTATTTTATTTTATTGAGAATATTTTTTTATATTTTGACCGTTGCAACTTTAAGAGAGGAAAAAAAAAAAAGTGTAGATAAAGGGAAGCATATAAGTTTTTATGAAGTAGGAAAAGCATTGTCCCTTTTTCAATATTGGAGAAGTACAATTATTTTGTTGTACTCGTTAAAGGGAAGCATATAAGTAAAAGCATAGAAAGTTTGCCCCTTCTCACTATACTATTGGAGAAGTAAAATTATATTGTGGTACTCATTAATTATTGCACTGCCTAATTTATTTTCTGAAAGTTTTTCAAATTTTAAAATAAAACAGTATTTTTTTAAAAAAATTCTTGACTGGCATTTGTTTCTTTTTTAAGAAAAAAAAAGCTAAAACTGAGTCGGTCAGTTTAGGGATGGCTCCTGACAATGGTCAGACTGGCAATTTAGTCATCTTGTAATAGTAATAAAGGCAATTTGGTCACGAGGAAAAAAGGTTAGGGGTATTATGGTCATTTTTGAGAAAGCAAAATCTGCCTTTATTTTACTTATTTAATTTCTTAAGTATAGTTTTACTTCCACCTTTTCAAAAAATACCATGATACGCTCCTTCACTTTCGGGCTGAAAATGTAGATATAGGACAAAAATGTTTAAGCAGGGGATATTTGCAATATCACATGCCAAATCCAAATATTTGTCTTTGACCCTTGATTTACCACACATGGTGAAGTGAGTTCTTGGCATTTATCTACTTTTTTTTTGGTCATGGTACAAGATTATTTAATCATGTTATCAGGCTCTATTCCCTTTGTACTGTGCTATTGTTGGTTCTTCTAACATCGAATCAGAGCAGGGGGTTTTATACTGGGGCCACTTATCTTTGGTACAAAGAAGGCACAATTATTATATGTGAAATAGGGGCCGGTGCGACAAATTTTATTTTAGGCTTTAAGCACTGCTAATGGCCGATATCCCCGACAGAAAGTGAACTTATAGTTTTATTGAGGGTATGGTCCTTGCTAGAACTGAATGACGGAACATGATTCATGTAGCTGATTCTAAATAGTTTTGATAAGGCTTTGATAATGATGATCCACTATTAATAGCATCGCTCTACCCGGATTTCATATCTAATAGCCTATGACGATTGTGGCCTTGTACAAATGTGCATGGTCTCATTGTGTACTTTTCATTTTAGGAATGCCTTTTTTGTTTGGACATGGTTTCTACGGGTCCATGTAGAAATGAGTAACCTCCAAAAAAATCTGTTTTTGAGATGGATTTTTTGAGCTAATTTTTAAGGACATGTAATCTCCAACATGGAGATCATGAATATGAAAAAAGAAATAAATTTTGAAAATTAAAAATAATAATTCTATTAAAAAAACATTTAGGCTGTTAGTTTCAATTGTTTTTAGAAGGACCACGTATTTGCATCCGCCTTTAAGATGGATGCTTTATACCTCGGGGACCTCAAATGTAGAATGTGTGGTTGTCCCCGCGGCATGAAACAATTTTCGTTTTTGTTTGTGGTTAGTTACATCTCTGTTTTCCCCTTGTGCAGGAAGGGTACATGGTTCCTCCAGGCATTGCAAAGGCAGGTCCTGTCCCACGAGATTCCCTCTTGAGCCCGACCGTCCTACACGATGGCCGCCTAGCCCTTCGCCCAACTCCTCTGGCTGCCCTCCTAACCTTCCTTTGGCTCCCTCTCGGTTTCGCTCTATCTCTCGTCCGCGTCTATTTCGACCTGCCCCTCCCTGAACGCATAGTTCAACACACTTATCGCATCCTCGGAATCAAACTAATCATTAAGGGGATCCCTCCTCCACCCCCTGCACCTGGCTCTCCAGGAGTTCTTCTAGTCTGTAACCACCGCACAGTGCTCGACCCAATTGTCACAGCGGTGGCCTTAGGACGCAAGGTTAGCTGCGTAACATACAGCATTAGCAAGTTCTCCGAGTTCATGTCTCCCATCAAAGCGGTCGCACTGACTCGAGAGCGAGAGAAGGACGCCGCCAACATTAAGGCCTTGCTCCAAGAAGGGGACCTAGTAATTTGTCCTGAGGGAACTACTTGCAGGGAGCCATTTTTGCTAAGGTTCAGTGCACTTTTTGCAGAGCTGAGTGATAGAATTGTGCCAGTGGCCATTAACACTAAGCAAAGCATGTTTCATGGGACAACTGTGAGGGGGTACAAGTTGCTGGACCCTTACTTCTTCTTCATGAACCCTAGGCCCACTTATGAGATCACCTTCTTGGAGCAATTGCCATTGGAGCTCACATGCAAGGGGGGCAAGAGCCCAATTGAAGTGGCCAACTATATTCAAAGGGTGTTAGCTGGGACCTTGGGGTTTGAGTGCACAAGTTTTACTAGGAAAGATAAGTACATGATGCTTGGGGGAAACGATGGGAGGGTAGAGAGCATGAAGATTAAGGGATAGGAGCTCTCTCTCTCTCTCTCTCTCTCTCTCTAAGCTGGAAAGGGTGGGAGTTGCAATTTTTGTTTGTGGGGTTTGGGTTTGATGACATGGTGGATCTCTTTGATCCATAAAAAGAGAAATGATGGGGTCTTTGTGCTTGTGCAAGGTGTTGGTTGTTTGTTATATCTGGTTTTAGGTGAAATACTAGGGAACTATTGAAGGGATATCTTTTTCATTAAGGGAGCATCTCTCTTTTGCTAATTTGTTTTTAGCAGCCCTTGGTAATGGGAAGATTTGGGTCTCTATCTCTTAGTAAATCATTCAAGAGAGATTTTGTGTATCCTTTACATTACAGTGAAATGATGGTCTCTCTAATTGATGTTTTCAAATATTTGATAATAAAGGGTAAATATGATATAAACCTTATCACTATTCACTATGGAAACTTTTGGGCCATCATGGTCTATTGCATTGATTGAAGGTTAGTGATAAACCTAAGAATTATTTGAGATTATGTTGTACATTTTGAAAAGATAAATTCACCATGATATGGGGGGTCACTGGACATATGCTATTTGATAGAATTATTTAATACAACATGTGAAGAGAGTCCCCCACAATAAATGTACAAAATGGCAAAGGAGTTTGCTTTCTCAAAAGAAAGGGGTGCCCCTTAACATTCAAAAATAAAAAATAAAAAGAAAAAAGAAAAAGGAAAGGGAGCAGGCCTTCTCTCTTCTCTAGAAAAAGAAAGGTTACTGGATCTAGGTAACCTACCAAGGAAAAAGAATGATCATCCCATTCAAGGTCCCAAAGATGGGTTATTCACAGGGTGGTGGTGGTTATTAATGGCCCAGCTAATCTCCAAAGGTCATTGGTTGGATGCACCAAACAAAGGAGGGAATGAAATACTTTATACGAACAAATCAAGTCCTATTTCGGATAGATCAAGATGGATGAAGAAATAAAATGTGATTTTGTAGATGAAAAATAAATCAAAGATAAATCCAAACAACTTTTTTGTAAATCCAAGGGATTACTAAATTAGAAAGCCATCATTTTTAATATTTGCTCAATAATTCTGAAAAAAAAAGTTAAAATCCTTTTTCTATAATGAACTTATGTCCCTTTAAATACCATAGTTTTGGCTATCTTAAATCTAAACAGAAATTGGATATGCATTCTTTTCAGTAATCTTCATGGAAATGTTAAAGCTTCTCTTCAAGGACTTTATTTCAGCCATTTAAACTTATTCCTTTCTTTGCTATGCGATGCAACAACGGTAATTTCATAGAACTTTTCAAGATAAAGGCATATAGGTTGGAACCCTATTTTCTACTAAAAAAAGGCTGGGAATCCACATATGGCCATATGGGGTCTCCACAGAGAGAGAGAGAGAGAGAAAGCCGGGCCAAGGCCAGCCCTGTTCAAGCCGGTCCAGCCCTTATTTTCCTTTCTTTTTATGGCCCGGCCCTAATAGGGCCAAGATTGGGCTTCGACCAAGCCAGTGCCAGGGCTAACATGCCCCGAAAGCCAGGCCAAGGCCAGCCCGGTTCAAGCCGGCCCAGCCCTTATTTCCCTTTCTTTTACTGCCGACCCTAATAGGCCCAAAGCTGGGCTTCGGCTAGTGATTTCTTGGCCTAGTCTGGGCCATATCGGGCTAGCCACAGAGAGAGAGACTTTAAAAGGGTGCATAGGCCTTCGAACGATTATTAGCTGTAAATATGAAGGAAAAAAAAAAAAGGTGGATAAAGGAGCTAGGTTGGCATAGCGATAGCGCGTCAAAATTAAATGAAACAGGTAGATGGTAGTTGGTTTAGTAAATAATTTCCCCAAATATTAGGGGATGAATTAATGGTACTCAAAAGCTGTGACGAGATAGGATATAGACTTTGTCCAAGCAATAGCGATACCTTCCTTTTGGTTTTTTTTTCAGGGTAAAGCTATGGCTTTCACTATGAGAAATTTGCCCTAAAAATGAATGCCTTACTACTTGGCTTTAAAGTTACAACCCCACCTCTTTTTCCTCTCTATTATTTCCAAAGAATACAACATGAGAACGTATATTATGCTGGGAAAATTACAAAAACCATACTTTTTAGATAATTTTCCCTTTTTTTTAAGTAATTTTTATCTTAAATTTACCTTTCTTAGCAAATACCTTCAAGTAAAAAAAAAGTAAAATGAAGACCAAAATGGCATCTGGAAAGCATGCGGTCCAGCACAAAGTGGGGGTAGTCTAACACTTTGCTTCTGGAAAGCATGCAGTCCATCACAAAATACGGGTGGTTCGGCACTTTGGGCATGTAGTCCAGCACAAAATGGGGGCAGTTCGACACAAAATGGAGGTGGTCCGACACAAAATGGGAGTGGTCTGACACAAAATAGGAGAGGTCTGGTACTTTAGGTATGCGGTTCGATACAAAATGGGTGCGGTCCGACACTACGGGTATTTTCGTTAAAAAAAAATGACTTTTTTTATTTAGGGGTATTTGCTAAGAAAGTTCAATTTGGAGTAAAAATTGCTAAGAAAACTTGATCGGGGGTAGGTTGTCTAGAAAGTTTATTTTGAGAGCTTTTGTAATTTTTCCTATTACGTTTCTTTGGGTGTATAGTTTACTTCTACTCCCTAGTTAAGAGACATCGCATAAGCTAGATAAAGACCTAACCATCCCAATTTGAAGAAGAAAATATGCCCTAAATATTGAAAATTTGGAGGGACTTGTCCCTTCCTACCTCTTCTAATAGAGGTGTCATCAAGTCAATCTAGGTGGCAACCTGGCTTATTTTTTTCTTGACTTATGGGGATAAAAGATCATTTATTAAAGAAGATATGCTCAAGGTGAGAAACTTTTGATTAAGCTTGTTGAGTATATTATATGTACAATATGCAAATAGAAATAGAGCACTTATCTATCTCTTTATCTATCTGTACGCTGCATTATTAAATCAAAGCTAAAGGGTGGACGTAAGAATAAAAAAGGATTCTAATATTATAGAGATTGTAGGATATGTGATTTTATGTAAGTCACATTTCTCATTCTTATAAAGGAGAGAGAGAGAGTTTGAAGTCCTAAAACAAAAGCGTGATTCCCCATCTTTAAGGGGGAGAAGAGAGAGAGTGGGAGAGAGAGAGTTTGAACTTCTAAAAACAAACAACTGCATATGAGAGAGATAATATTAAGTGAGAGATATATAGAGAGAAAATTAAGGAGTAAGGAAAGAAAATTATACGAGAGAGAGATGGATGTAGATAGAAAATTAAGGACTAGGTTTAGAAAAGAAAAACAAACAAAAACATAAGCCGCTTTTGCATATCTGCAGGAACAGTCACACGAGTAGGCAGGAACTGGCTGATAGAATAAGCTCCCAAATGTTTGAAGCTTTATAAGGTTTGTAATAGTCATTCTTTTCTTTCCTGAGCAAGTGAGGCAGCAGAACGAGTAAGGCGAAGCCCTTTCCATTCCTTACTCCCTGACTTTCCCTTAGGAACGGGAAGAGTCGTCCTTAGGCCCTCCAGGGCAGGGCTTCCAGTAGTTTGTATTTCCTACCCACCCTATACTATAAGGTAAGGTAGGCTTCCAGTAGTGCTTATGCCCTCTGTCAGGTTCAGTTATTGAAAGCAAGAAGAGACTGAATCTATGGAACTCTTTTCTCGGTCTACTAGCATTGTTCCCCAGCTCATATGTCCAACTCACCAGCTCATATAACTCCAAAATGTTTGACTACCAGTCAGCCTCGCCGACTGGACTACTTGACATCGAGGACGAGATAGAAGGCATAGAAGGTCATCCTCCTGTAGAAGTGAGGGGCATCAATCAACCGCCCTACTGCATCCTTTAGGGGCCCCAGGTAACTCCCATTCCCACGTGTTCAAGATTGCTTCCTCTGAAAACTGGACTTTAAGCTGCTCTACTAATACAAGAAAGAGTAAAGGGACGGATCCGGGTAGATCTGTATATGGGATAGGGCTAGGGGAAGCTACGGGCTATGGAGCTTAGTGCCTAAAGCATCTCAAATGGGAGTGGAAAGTGGTACTAAGAAATGGATAGGATCTCGAAAAGGAAGGAACGCTAGCTTGGCTTCTGCCGGCCCCTAAAAAAACCAATCAGTTCTCGGCGGGATAAAAAAGAAGACATTCAAACAAGCAGGAGCCTCCCCACCCCTTCGGGTGGGTCTCTTCTCGGCAGTCAGGGTTTTCTTCTTTGCCGAACCCGTTCAATTAGTCATTTAGTTAGCCCTCGTGAAATACAAGATTGAATCAATCAAGTAAGTCAGTGTCGCAGTCAGGGATGTAAGGCACGTAAAGAAGGGAGTCATTGGCACCCCCTTGTTCAATTCAATTCTTCAAATCATTCCGGTCGGTAAGGAAGCCAGTCAGCAGTCAGGTTAAGATGAGCAGGGACGAAACGAAAGCAAAGAAGAAACCAAAAGCCAGCCCACTTTTCTTCCTTTTTCCATCATCCACCAGGACACTAAGATCACGGAAAAAGATTCTATTATAAGACTGTTCAATCAATTGTCCAACAGACAGATAGTTGATTCTTGGAGAGTTTGGGAACTACTAAAGCACAGAAGAAAGGCTTTTTCGTCTTTTCTTGAAAATTTTGACAAAAAGGGAAGGGTGGGGTTGTGGGGTGAGTTTAAACTCTTTGCAGGGGTGGCAATGGATCCGACTAGATCCGAGACTCGACGGGTAAACCTGACCTCGGATCCAGGTATGGGTCCAATTTTTTGACCCGATGGGTCAAGTCTGAGTCCAACCGGACCCAACCCGATCTATACCCATAAACTGTTGGGGATAAAATATTTTATTTTAAGCCCTATTCATTTGGGTGTATTAAGGACCGTATACAATAATAATTTGTAGTCATCTTTAGCTATTAAATGACAAATCAGATGACTTGAAATCTAATGATAGGTGGTTGTGACCTTGTTGCCAATAATATGGATATATGATGTTAAAAAAAAGGGCAAAAAAAAAAGAAAAAAGAATCTCATAGTCATAGGATGGCAACAGACCTAGGACCTACAAGAATGGGTATACGTCTAATTTTTAGACCTGATGAGCTGGGTCTAGGTCCAAAATTTGGACCCGAACACGATTCGGGTCAAGTTCCAGGTCCAGCTGGACCCAACCCGTTGCCACCCCTATCCATGAATAAATGCACCATAGATATAAAAATTAAGTGAGAGAGAGATTGAAAGAGAGAAAATTAAAGCGTAGGGAGAGAAAATTAAATGAGAGAGGGAGATGTGGATGACAGAGAATGTGGATAAAAGAGAGAGAAACATGTATAAAAGAGAAAGAGAAACATGTATAAAAGACAAAATTAAATGAGAGATGGAGACGTGGATGAGAGAGAATATGGATAATAGAAAGAGAAACATGTATAAAAGAGAAAGAAGAGAC